CACATTTTCAACCTCATTGCGAGACTGTTTTTCTGGTATAAAATTTTACACATATGCATTTATATTATATGTATAATACTTTGTTTTACGTACACATTTGTGTCGATTAATTTTTAAGATGTGATGTCTTTTTCATTGTAATGCGCATTTAGCATCTTTTAGGAAATGGAAATGCGCAGTATAAATGCTATTTATTATCATTATTATCACTGTCGTAGGCAGACGATGTTGTTTTAGTAGAGGTTTTACGGCCTTCGCAACTGCATAAGGTCATATGAGCGCCAGAAGATTAGAGGTGTTACAAGAGAGTAACAAACATAAAAAAAGAAGAAGGGGAGGTAAGGACGATAGATGTTTGATAGTAAAGAAGAAGCAAACCACACCAGAGCACCAGCCAACCACCCACAGACAATGTTGGGTTCTATTCCCTCGTGAGGAAGGTTTTCATCAAGTATCTCGGTATTTTCTGGAGCGTTGCGTCCCTCTCGGCTCGGAATGGACCCTACAGCTGGGATCGAAGCAGCCCGCCTCCTAAATGATCTTAGTTGTGTCGATAGGGGCGTAAATCATTTATAATAAATGATATATAAGATTAGGTCAAAAAGTTAAAATGTCCTACTGCTATCACCGTGCAGGGGATAGTATTAAAGATCACTTCAAAAGCTCCCAGACCCCAGTGGGTCTAGACACTTCACAATAAAATAAAAGTTTAATCAAAGTTTCATATATACTGGTCCATTTAACGAGCAACAATTGCTTTCAATACAATCGTTATCACGCGTAATCTGACAAAGAACACGACATACGCAACAAGACAATTACATGGCTATTGGTCACTCTTGTTGTTGGAAGTGCGGTCAAAAATTCATGGCACAGCTTATGGTCAAATATCTCAACTATCGAACACAAACCCTCCAGCTTTTGCACAGTGACTTGTATCATTTGTCTACATAGTAATAACAGATTATTTTGAGAGGACCTGTTAGCTCTATTCTAAAACATTCCGTAGTAAATATTAATTTAAAAAATCCAAGCGGGTGGTTTCTACTGATTTTGAAAGGTTTACAGCTGGGACAAGATCGCTTTTACGAACGAGTCCGTCATTTTTTTTTCTAATCGCGAGATTATCTTTATTGAATTCTTGTTTTGATAACTTTTAGTGCAAAAAAGTGTTAACTACAAAATTAATTTCTTGTAAAAAGTGTCACTGGTGAGCTGTGACGTAACCCATATGCGTATACAAAATGTGTGTGAGAAGCTGGAAGTGCTGTGAACAATTCCATTTTCCGCGTGAAGGAGGTTTATATTGTTTTATATAAATTTACGAAGAAAAGTTTTTGAATCTAGCCTCAAATATTGTGGAAAAATGTGATTAAATTAAGAAAATTAAGACAAACTGGGACAAACAGCTGTGCAAAGTATGGACGACCTTGATTCACCCGTTATAAAGATATTTGAGGATAAGCTGCGCCATGAATTTTTTACCACAATATAGATAAGGATACCCATTTTTGATACACATAAAACTCTACGAAAGGAGAAGATAGGTTTAGTGCTATGGTTAAACAGATGGAAGAAAATGTATGGCAAGGCGGAAAAATCAGGTACTCGTAAAAAAAAA